CATTATACGAAGTTATACGAGGAGAGAGAGAGAGAGAGAGAGAGAGAATAATTCACTGTGCCATATTTTAATAACATATTTTTATATTCTTTTATGAGTTTAGAATCGATTTCTCTTTTTTACCGGAGACGTGTGGTGAAATACCTTGTGTATTTTCAAGATATTCGTTTCGTTTGTTTTATGGCGACATATTTGCCAACTTTAATAGAATATATAATATAATTCTGCAGCCTGTTCTTCCATGACATATAAAAAATTCCTTTAACGCGGTAGTTAAATTAATCCTTGATTGCTCTGGCGCAGTCATACTCCAAAGGATCAAATATTTAACGTTATTAGTTGGTCTGGCCTGCCACTAACGCGTAATGGAAGTCCCTGTGAAATTAATTTGGCCCCCCCGAGTGTGAATCGTCTATAACCGGAAATTAATAATTCAAACAATGACGTTCGGAGCAACCGCGCTAGTGAAATTCGTTTAAAACATCCTCTGGATATTTTGCGCGAGACGAAAAAAAAATGAGATTACATAAATAACAAATATACTGAATGAACAATAGTGCTAAATTAATTGACGTTGTACGTGAAACGTTTAAATAATAGCCACATTTATCCATAGATATTGATTGCATTTTTTAACAATGTACAGTCATTAAGCTCTTTTTGTGTACGTGTTTTCGAAAAAGTGGAAAAAGTCCTGGAATCTCTCTCCCTCTCCTTTTCTCTCCATATTTCCAGCGTCACTCTATTTGTTCATCCAACCCGAACCTGCTCATTAACTCCGCGCAATCAAGTTGAACAAGAGGAAGAGTAATCGCGGCATTATTACGATACATTCGCAAATCATCGCGATTCACCCTCCCTCCCACTCTCTTCACTCCTCGAATCGTCGATAAATCCGCGCGCTTCTATCTCCTTCTTTACCTTGCTCCACCTCGGCATTGATGTGAATGGTCCTCAGTCTGAGCTCCTCGTTCTCGTAAATCATCCCCCTCGAGGACTTCCGGTCGAGTTTTCTATTCGGCTTGACGCTGACATCCCTACGCCTGGTCCTCAGCATCCCGACGCCGCCAACACTGCCCACCCCCGCCCCCGCCATCATTCTTTTCCCGCGCCACTCGTCTCCTTCGTTCTCCGCGGACGGTGCAGGGCGGTGTATCGCGAGGAGCGGATCGCGATGAAACCGATCGATTGTCCGCGACGATCAGTAGCGGTGTCGCGCGCGCGGCCTTTCGGGAGGCGCAGCACGCGAGTTCCCTTGTTCGCTCCCTCCTCTCGATAAACTTTCGGGAGGAGCGCGCGCTTCTTGTGACTATTTGATCCTCTGTTTGATCTTCGGCGTTAGGCGAAGAAAGTTCCGAGCATTGCTCGAAGAACGGCTGCAACGTTTGTTCGACTTGGCGACTACGACTTGCCACTCGACGTTCCTTCTATCGCGCAGGCAAATCCGAGGGTTCGCTTCGAGGAGTTCGCCTTAATTCTTTATCCGCTACACACTACGAGATTTCTCACCTCGAGGCACTCGCACTTTCTTCAGATCGCTTTTACCATCCGAGAAATTATCCCGGATACTTTTTAAAATTATTTTTATTATTATAAAAGTTCCGCACTAAATTTTCATTTCTATTAGATTTTATTATCACGGAAAAATCACTTCCAGGCACACTTAGCAGGCGCTTCCTACACTTAGCAATATTAATTCGTTTAAAATAACGAAGAATTAGATTCGAAGTTTTCGCATTGTTTTTATATTATTACGTTGTGACAACTCTCTCTTTCGCGGCACTAAAGGGGTTAAAGGTGCGCGCCCGCGCCGTTATACCGGATCTCGAGAACGAGGCGACGCGACGACGAAGCCACTTGCTTCGTTTAAAGCGGAACGTCCGCTTCTCGAATAATCGCAGAGTCACCCGATCGCGACGGAGAGCCTGCATCAATCCCGGGAAGGAACTCGGGAAGCGTGGTTGTAATTGATGCCAGAGAGACTTTAGAGAGACCGACAGACGCCTTACGGACTCGCGGAGTCACTCTCTATTGTGAAGACTACAACAACGCTGGCTCGCAGTATACCGCAAAGTTTGTACACGCCGACTCGTTATATCATGAAGACCGCGCGGATCTAATATCCTGTCACGCTGCTATATCGCGCAACCAGGGCTAAAAGCTGTTGACGCCGAGTAGAGTAGTCTGTCTAAAATTTCGTGCACGTTGTTTCGTGAGAAACGCTGTGCGCGCCTTGTAGTAAAGCGCGGATGGTGCACCTCGGCCCGAAGGCGGAGTCGAGAGGCTATCGACGCTGGCGAGTAACATAATCCGTCTACGATCTCCAGTGTTGATATACTTGTTGTTATATTAACTTGGATCCCGCGCTGATGGCTACTAATTGACTAGTTCCCCCAGGTATTACACGTCTCTCGTCGAACCGTCACACGCAGACGACAAAGTACGGTCCGGCTCCGCGAGCCTCACCGCGGTCCGCGCGCTTGCCGCGAGCCGTTTAGACGGAATTACAGCGTCCGGCAGCACCGGTCGTCGCGTCGTCCGCGCGGCCGGAAGAATTTGCATCGGACACTCATTTCTCACGCGGTATTCCTCGCACGCAATTTGCGTCCCCATTACTCAGCGTTTATCAGCGGGCTCGGTGGCGACCACCTCTCGCGCTTTCGTGTGCTCCGTCCTCTTTTTTTTTTTACTATTTCTTCCCCTCTCCCGCCCCTCCTCGTCCGCCTTCTGTCCTGCCGACCGTTTCCGTTTCTTTTAATTTGTTTTGCGCGTCCGCGCGGCGCACGCGAGGAAATTTATCTCGTCGCTCGGACGGATTTTCTGCAATCTTTCGGCCGGCTGCGGCAGTCACCGGCCGACGACTACCGCTGCGCCCCGTTATGAATGTCGGGACTTTCGCCCCTAGGCCGCCGGCGATTATTCACGAGGGGCTTAAAGTTGCCGCCTGAAGTTCCAGCTTCTAGTATCTAGCTTCTTTCGTATCCGCCGGGACGCGCCGGGTACGTTCGCGCAAAAATTGTTCTCGCGGGGACGATGAGTGGTTGCGATACGCGATGCGCCGCAGCTGTTGCGGAACGATTATGCCGCGATGATGCGTGATGATGCTCGAAGACTCGCGTCTGATCCTTGAAAAAGATGCGCCAGAGACGCGGGAACGACGAGAGCGGCGAAGCAGTTGCTGATGTGCACTGTCAGCTTCAAGTATATGATGCGACGGTCATTAGTTGACTTTGACGAGCTGCGTGGTGCGTTTTTTGTGAAACCGTTCCGCTCCGTAGAATCTCCGTGGGTCTTCCCGTGGTACGGAGTGACGATCGCCTTCTACGTTTTTGTTGCTGGTGATCTGAAAAAAATTTTACGTTAGAGATCGTGTAATAATAATTACGTATAATATTTTTTATTAAAATATTATGGGCTATCATGCATTCCTTTCAACGAAAATGTGGATTCGCAATCGATATCTCGCTACTTTTGAATAATACGAGTTTTGATTCACCAAATACTTGGCTTACTAGAAAAATAGAATATTTATCTTTAAGTAGAGATCACCGAAACATTTCAAAAGCTTGAAACAACAGCGGAAAAGGGATCGATATCGTTGTGCAGGAACCTTTGTGGATAAAGGTTTTATTTGTCGAGCTCTCGACTTTGACCACGCGAAGTCACGAGGGACACGGAGGTAGTCTCTCTCGTGCAAGATGTACGTGATTTAAAATCTCGCCGATAGCATCGCCTGAAAGATCGCCTCGCGTAGGATGCAGAGCTTCCGACACGCGTACTCGGGTAAATGCGCGGAATGGGGCAAAACATTTCGCTCGCTTGTGCGGGGCGCGAGGGGAAGAGAAAGCGAGTATCCGCTTTGAAAGGCACTTTTTTTCGCGATGCTACTCCCTCAGCGCTTCCTCTCTCGCTCTTGCCCGTTCTTCTTGCGACACTCAAAGTCCGGGGAATGACATCAAAGAGGATCCCGCAGCAAAGCGCGAGGCAGGTGCGTATCCTCGATCGCTTGTTGTTACCTTGTTCTGAAAGCAAACGTAAAGAGCGACGAAGAGAGGATGCAAGATAGAGAGAAACGTGGAAAGAGAGAAATTTATCATATTCTGGGGGGGAAAAAAATTACTTTGTAGATATATGCATGCGGAAAGCTTTTTGTTCAACGAGATTGAAGATAAAAAATAATTAATTAAGTGCATTAAGATTAACGAAGTACGCGGGATGAAAATGTATGAAATGTCGGAATGTAAACTGCGTATTTCACGGCGAGTCGGTAAGCACTGTTCTCTGAATGCGTAGTTAACGTTTCAACATTTTCGTGGGAATTTGCATTTCCACAAAACTATGTAAATAGCAGACTGTGCCAAACTGAAGTACCCGAAGTAGTAAGAATACAGGTGGAATGGAGCGCGATAAGAAGAAGGAAAGAATCGCGTCAGCTTCTGATATACACAGCCATCTTTGACGATAAATGAGCTGAATTGCTGTATAAATAACGACCTTCTCGAGTTTGCGTTAGAAACTTGTAATTATCTCTGGGCTTTCTTACGCGATAATTAAAAGAAGAGCGAGAAACTTAACGCTTCGTCATACGTTGACTTTCTTGACGAAGTTCATATCCTTCAATTAACGCGGACGGAAAATAATAAAAAAGTAAACGGCAAGGGAGAAACTTTTCTCCTAAGCTGAGATATGGTGCCTGAAGAGGCAATTTACGCGAACACGTACAAATATACGAGAGCTGCGAAACGAAGTCAAAGTCGTAAAGTTCCGAACGTTTTACGGCAGAGCGACAAGATTATGTCGATGCGCGTTTAGAACAGATATTCGATTTGAACGCATTCCAAAGAGCAGATGAATCATGATTCGGAATTCACGTCTAGCACGAAAATTAACGCTGCGTTTGCCAACAAAGAGTATTTACGAATTAAGTAATTAAGCATGCTACATAAAAAAAATTTATTTCTATTTTTCTCTTTATTATTAGATTTTCGCAAACTTATATTTGTAAAATATTTTTCGATGTTTTATTAAAATACTATTTGCACATGGCTCATGTGTAAATTGTTTGAAATATAACACACTTGACACATTATTGAACATTTTAACGAGCCAAATTGGAAAAGATCTATTTCGAGCTTTCATATTTCCTGTCAACCATAAATTATTATTGCTATTATTACGACCGAGCTAAATTTATCCGTCGACAATTTAGTGATTAAGAATAAACTATTTTTTTTTTTGTTACGCATTACAGATAGATTAATTTTTTCAATTAAATTTATCTTATTTGCCATTAATTTGAATGGCTGTTTATAAACGACTCGCGTCAACATAGCTCTTGCTTAAAAAATAAATAATGTCCATGAGATGTCGTCGCCCGCGCAAGCTCGCACGCTCGCAATTTAACGAGGTAGGACGCGAGGTCTTTGATGCGGGACCGACAAGATGTAAGAGGCCAGAAGTTACAACGTGCAACAATTACGCTCCTTTAAGCGTAACTACGCGACAGAATGGCGGGGACACGATGTATCTCCTTTGTAACGCGAACTTCACAGTACGAAAGTTTTCGCGCTGCCGGGCAAAAACTTAGGGCTCGTTAAGGGGCGCACATTTGCATGACATTTATCACAACTCCTGCGAGGACCTTTAAGATACGTGCCAGCGCGGCCGGATAAAGCCGGAAGGATTAATGAGGACGTCTTTCTCCCACCTCGTCTGTTGCGGAGCTCGCATTTCGCACGGTGTTCAGACCAAAATATATATTCGCTCGACTCTTAACTCCTCGGAATTTCTGCAGCCTCTCCGCCGATGTTGTTTTTGTAATATCTTTGCGAAAGAATGCCTAAGGCTTGTTGTTTTTTATTATTTTGCAATTTTTTTGGTTAAAAGAAATTGAATATTTATTTCATCGGAAAAACTGCAGCAACTAAAGATATTATATTAATAAATATTTCCGACAATTGCAGAAAACAATTTGAATTCGAGTGAAAAATTTGATTTTGAATGCGTTTTACTCACATTACTATTTCACATTTGTTTGAAACAATTCTTTTCCTCTCTCGTTAAACATTCGCGATTAGAATAGGATTGATCTCACTCGTGAAGTGCATTTTCGCAAGGCTCTTATGCGCGCAGAATGCGATAGTGCCTATTGACCACCTGGCTGCGCAATTTTAATGATTTCCGGTCTCGAGTTCGACGGATACGCGTTTGGCGGCCACGCATTACGCGCGCGTATCAACATAGCGATATAATCCGCGTGGACATTAACCAGACGTGGACCTCGACACGCAACGTGCTCCCAATACTAAATAATCAAAACTCGCACGATTTCCGGTATACATCTAAATATTTTAATTATATATACAGTTATTACCGTGCGGTGTAAATGCACGCCAGCTCACTAAAAATATAATATTGGTTGCATAATATGCGAATTAATGCCGGGTTATTAATATTAATGTATAAATGTCACACGACATTATCGCATTGGTAAAATTATAATCCCAAGCTTTGATAAAATGTAAGAGCGGAAAATTATAATTCTATAAAATTATAAATCAAACTCATGTTCCATATTTAGACTTTAAATGTGTCAAATGGCGGCAAAATAATTTTTTCTTACACAATGAAATAGATAAAGAACACAAATTTATATATTTCTCTCAAATATTTATGTATAGAGAACCAAACATTTTAATTATTTCTAAATTGCGGAAATTAATTAAAATATAAATATATATTTTTAAATCTTTTTCTCGCTTGTCGCTTAACACATTCAAGACTGCATATATTCAACTCACGGGATGATGCTGCATGCGAAACCGGTCCGACCTCCTCTCGTATTTGCGTGGCGTGAAACGTAAACGGTGTTGCGCGGTGCAGCGGTCGTGACGCCTCGTGTGAAAATCGAATTTGTACCGTGAAGTGCGAGATCGGGGCGTTATCGGCCAGCCGGCGTGTGCACAATTTTAACGATTTCCGGACCGGTACTTTCGGCGTAACGTGTTTCGCGCGTCGCCGCCGACGCTCGAAGGTCGACGCGAACCAGACGCCGTGATTCGAGACCTCGATCCGAATGATCCGCTGCGTTCGAACGGAATCGATGACGGGGCGTGTTATTATTAAGCGAAGCGACGACGGGTTGTCGATCGCGAAATGATATGCGTCGTTGACGCCTGCCGCGTTTTTTCATATTAAAGGGAATCCCCTCACTTACAAGTGCTGATTCGAATGAGAAACTGAAACGCATTTTATCATTAAGTTTGAATTTTATTAGAAAATTTATCGTTCAATTAAAAAATATAGTTTATAAAATATTTCACGATAAAAATAGTATTAAAAACTAATACCAGAGATACGAAAAAGTTGTGAACTCGCTAAATTAATAGTATATTAATATACTGGGTTTTTATCTAGAAAAGATAATTTACATTTCAAATTTATCGAACAGTTTATAACTTTAGGGAGCAGCGATTAGCACGCGGGACACCCTGTAGAACATGTCGATGACGGTGCATTCGTGATACACAGTCGAGACAGCGACGGGACTCATGGATTACACGAGCGACACGTGTCGCCGACACGTTTACCGGCGTGACGTTAACACGTGCACCGTCGCGGCTTCACGTTGCGGCGCGTTTCGCAATGCGTAAATGCGGCGTGGAAGCGCGTGTACACGTGGTTCCGATGCGTGTCGCGAATGATTTACACGCGGTCGCGCGCAGAATGCACCGGCTGCAGCTTGTTCGCGCAGATGCGGCACGGAGATTTAATTTCGAACGCGATCGTTAAGTCGACGATCACTAGTGATTCCATTTGCCGATTTTAATTATCGTACGCTAAGTACAAGTGTTTTTCTCGTCGCGAAATTCTGCTCGAAGGCGAACATTATCCGTATATCTGTCATGGATGGGAAACATGTCGGAACGTAACGAAGAGGATGCGTTTCCGCGTGCCATTCTCCGAGTTTTTCATTCAAATCGAGTTGTGTCCAATTAAGCGAGGTACCTCTTGCGCGCGTCGTTTATTCATAATGCGACATGTCTCATCGATATTTTGCCTCTGGCTGAAAATGGAAGTGTACTAAGTATAGAATGAAGCTCCTTGTTTGTTGTCAATATTTCGCGAAATTTGTAAATGTTAGATTT